GCCTAGGGCAGAAGAAGAGATACCACAATTGTCTAGCAGACAATTGGCCAAAGGATCGATTTCACTTGCCTAATGGAAATGGGAGGTCTACTCATATCATTGTTAGAAAATTCAACTATATGATGTGTTCACCTTATTTTGTCTCATGTGATGAAGAGCGGTCAGTTGAACTTTCTAACAATGATATGAGTAGAGCTGACTTTTCCATTGGAGTTCACATAGTCTTACTTTCCCGAAAGGTGTCCTTATCCAGAATGGATTACAGTTACGAGCATGCCAGGGTCTTATCAACACCCAAGCAGGACTCGAACCATGACACTACTGCGTGTCGGGGTCGAAACTACAGTCCACCTCAGCCTGGATGAGAGTATATTTTAGGAAAGCAAGGCTATATGAAATTCAATAGAAATAGTGGGAAAATTGTACTACGAGTTCGTCATCAGCTTAAACGAAATAGTGTGAATACATCTCATATTACTGATTTACTAGTAGTCTCGAAACTTTAGTTAAAGGCGAAAAATTAACGAAAGCCTGAGAATCTTTTAGATGTACCTATGAAGATCAAGATGTTGTGGCCTCTATTTTGTTTTTATGCTGAGTTATGATGTGGTGCTATGGATGGCAAAGCTCATTGATGATGCCGGCAAAACGCCTTGGAAGGTAGCAAGTCCACGTTCCGATTCTGAAAATTATCATAAATTCCATAGACTCCGGACAAGGTGTTGTCTCCTAGGTCTTCCTGCCAGTACGAACAAGTTGCGAAAACACGGTCAAACAATTTATGTATCCAAGTCGGTTTAACCTAGTTCACATAACTCGGCAGTGGCATCTTATGGAGCTTGAAGCACTTGCTCAGTCTCGTATCCTTTGTCGCGGTGACCATGATAATTTCCACAATTGGACAGCTTACTTTTTCACTCCTAGACAGGCCGGCGTTCTTATCGACAGTCTCAATGAGAAGTGTCAGCTTTAGCACTAGGCCTTGGCTAGCCATTTTGACGAGTTGAGGCCGACGTTTAGCAATGATACTCATCGCGGAATGTCTGGAAATGTACCAGCCTGATTATGAAAATTAGCTTGGCTATTAGGGAAGATGAGACTAGAATAGATGCACTTTGCAATCTCTTCTTGCCACCGCAACCAAGTTGCGTAAACATGCTCAAATCTATTATTCAGCTGAAGAAGGCTGCTGAGGAGCTCACTGCTGCTCCATCTTAGTCTGCATATCTAAGCTTGAGTATACTCTATCTTAGTTCCAGAAGTAATATGCTTGAGTCTATCTTCTAAGCTAGGTACGGCGAATCGTTCGACAGGCTATTGACGCTTTGTGATTCACGGACTTTATGACCCTTCTTGCAGACGATTGAAACTTTACGGCGACCGGACTTCTCGAAGTTACCGGATTAACGGTAGATTGCCGAAAAACATCATTTAAGATCAACTTCTCCGGTGATCCCTTGAAAGTAAGCCTGAATCGTGGGGTCGTAGCAGGGCCATAGAAACAATAACCAAGCTATTGCAACAATTATTTGGCCTCATCATTTTATTCATTAAAAAATCGACTCATGCGAATATATCAAATATTGTTTTTAGATAAATTAGAGTATTTAGCCATTTCCTGTTGTTATATGATGTAAAAACGGTGTTAGCCTACATCGTTAAGCTTCAGTTTTATTGTAGATATGAAGACCAACATGGTGTGGCCTTGTGTTTGGTCACAATCTCCTTTGATTTTGTAGTGGTTGATCGACATTGTGGAACCTGCCTGATCCCGTGTCCCCTGCCATAGTGTTCGTGATTTTCAGCATTGGATCATTGGCTGGGTACATTCCCAGACGTTTCGCTGGCGTCGTCAGTGAGAAGCGCCATCGTAAGCACAGAGTTACAACTTGTCAAAGTGGCAAGTGAAGGCAATCCCTGTGACCAATTTTCTGTTCAACTATTGTGGCATCACTCCTCGCCGCTATTTTTTGTTGTACCATCTTTCTCTCAACCCCACTTCATGTGGCCCATCCACTTATTCACACAATTCTGTGTCCTCGTTTCCTCCAATGAGGCCAAACAGTGTGTCGCTATAAGTGGGTTTATGGAAGTGTAATCATCTGGAGGGCTCCTGAGCTACATTCTGCCCCTTTCTCCTACCCCTTTGCCATTCTGTCACTGCAAAACATCAAAATCACTTTTTTCGTAGGTGAGTAGATTTTCGAGACTACCAATCACTCAGATATATGAGTTGTATTCACCCTATTTCATTGAAGGCGTTCAAGGACTGTTGGTTGAATTTTCCCAAAATCATATGAGTAGAGCTGACGTTTCCATTGCATTCCACCTATCCTTACTTTGCCAAAAGTTGTTCTCATCCAGGCTGAAGTGGACTGTCTTTTATACCTCGCATAGGCCTTATCACCACCCTAAGCGGAAGTCGAAGCATGATAGTGCAGCATGTGAGCTCGACACATTAATTGCGCCAAATTTTCCACGAGTCCCCTTAGGTCACAGGGGAGATGTGAATTTCAACGAATGTCAGGCATTTTCCATATCACATTTTATGTTGGAATTGTCGATGATGTGCCTCTGTGTGTGAGTTGGCTGGTATGCCCCGTGGTCAAGAGTGACACCAGTCACCTCCCCTTCAGACAGATACGAAAAATACACATAACACCTTCGCCCACACACTGGTGACATCTATCTAGCCCACCTATACCTATAGACTTTAATTGCATATCCTGCATCTCACAGGTGAACTTCCTGGGTACATTTGTGGCCAATTCTATGTCTGACCCTTCTCACTGCGGTCGCATTTTCTTGATTTCCTTTTGTCCCTCATGAGCCGCTCCTTGGCGATGTCTCTTCTTGTTGTCGAACGGTTATTCTTGGTCCAAACGTCATCTTTTTGATGTCTTCATTGAATCTCCAAGTCTGCTTAGGCAGTACGCGAAATTATTTCCGAATATTCCCTCTTCCAATCTCCTGTTAATCAGGTTTCTTTAGAATGGAATGTCCACAGCCTCCCTGATCTTCCTTTTCCTGGTGTTCTCCCCATATGGGGCCAATCTTTCCGTTACACTCCAGTCAATTATTTGGCCGCTAATGGTGATGTGTTCAACTATCTCCGATCTTTCCGTATCAATTTTTCTGCATAGTCGCTGGCCTTCTTTGCTCCTTGTGCTGATTGTCCTTCCCCTGTCTCCGATGTATTTTTGTTCACAGTTCTTGCAGTTTATGCTGTAAACTTCAAAGCACTCCATTTTGTTGACTTCTTCATGTTGTGTGGGCAGGCTGGTGAAAAGGGTTGTCCTTTCCTACAGGATTGTACGAATGTTCCATTTCCACAGTATCGGCAGTAGTTTCTGAGCCAATTCGCAGGAGGGTAGACATATTCATCATTTTTATCCGGCTCCTCTTGCTTTTCTTTCATAGTCTCCGTCCTTCCATCTATTCGTCATTATCCGTATGTTGCGTTGTATTGCTTCTTATGGATATCCGTTTTATTCCATCAAATAACAGATAATGTCCGATAGAATTTGGTTCCGCAGATGAAAATGGTGTAAATAAGTGTTCGGAGGGAGAAAGCAGAATTTGTGTGGACTCTAGCCTTTGAGTAGAAGTGACTTCAAAGTTTTCATGTTTTAAGTGCATTAAAAGATGTCGATTCTACGCATGTAAATAGAAAACCTGAGCTTTCTGAACGATTCTGGGGAGCGGCAAGTATAACTAGCCCCAATCAAATAATGCCTGGAATGTTCTTCCCCGACAGTATTCTCCTCTTTCGGCATGAATGGCTGTTGGACGATGGATACTCTCGATCTCTTTCGCTGTCGTCGTTTTGGAGCAGATCTTGGCGCACCTCCCTCCGACCACAGCAGATCTACTCTCATCTCATCTTGTCATCGCATAGAGAAGATAATTATTGGTATACATGGCCTTGAGGTAAGCAGTATTCTGGGGCATCAAATAAAACAAATTTTCTTAATGTTTCTTGTCTTGATTTTCGATCGGTCAAAGAATTCACATTTGATTTGCTAATGACTTCATTTAAATCCCTCGTTTTATACTTTCCGTTATTATTTTGCAATTTCAGGAGTTTGTAGCGTTAAAGTCGCTTTTGGTGTTGATGTTTTATGAAATGGAAAATCACCCCCCATTTCTGAATTATATCAACATAGAGGTACGTTCTTGTCCAATTACAACTGCTTATTAATACCCAAAAAAAGATTTCCTACATAATTTGTCATCATTATTTTAAGTTAAACTAAATTATCATAGCAGCATAAATTATGGTATTGAGTCTGTATATTATTTATATATGCGTACAAACTATAATTATTCTATCCATTTGGCCATAAATTTATGTCTATCTATCTATCTATCTACCTACCTACCTACCTACCTACCTACCTACCTACCTACCTACCTA